GCTCGTCTGCTTGCCTGTACGGAGTTGATCCGTTTAAAATCACTTAATGCATTTCAAAATGCACGTTCATATTTGCTGTTCTGTATATACTTTGAGTCAACAACAAGACATATAGGCTACTGTATTGTTTTTATCATCCGTTATTATGCCACATTATGCGTTTTGCTGTATGGGAGGACAAGTGAAAGTTTTCGCATTGTGTTTATAGCCATCTTCCTGCCTTGTAGTATGTTAATTAATAACTATATATCGAATTTGATCTTTTAATTGCACTTAATGTATCTTAATACATTAAGCCATATTAAGTGTTTATGTTTTTCTACAGGAGGAAAACGCTTAGCGAGAGACTTTGTGCATTGCGTTAATATTCTGCTGTTCTGTGGCCACGGATTTGCGGGTCTTGTCTCTTTTGAAAAAATCTCCCAAATAAATCTCTCTTAATGTGTGTGTGTGTGTGTGTGTGTGTGTGAGCACTTGTACAGCTATCTTTGTGAGGGCTGGTTTGAGTTTTAGACCGTCGGAGTGAGGACAAATTTGTAAAGTGAGGACATTTTGGCCAGTCCTCACTTTCTGAGACCCCTTTAAAGGCCTGTTTGAGGGTCAAGACTTGGTTTTAGGTGTCAGATTATAATTGGGTAAAGGGTAGGTTTAGGGTAAGGGTTTGGGTGAGGCACTTAGTTCTGATGAGTAGGTTTAGGGTAAGGAGCTAGAGACTGCATTGTGTCAATGCATGTCCTCACAAAGATAGCTATACAGAGTTGTGTGTGTGTGTGTGTGTGTGTGTGTGTGCGCAAGACAAGTGTGAGACAAGAAATGCTATACCTAGCTTCTTAGAAGATGATTTGACGTTTTAGGGGTCAGGTTATAATTAGGTAAAGGTTAGGTTTAGGGTAAGGGTTTGGGTGAGGCACTTCTGATGGGTAGGTTAAGGGTTAGAAGCTATAGCAGGGGTGGCGAACGTCGGTCCTGGAGAGCTGCAGCCCTGCAGACAAAAATTATGCAGCTGTTAAATTTAAGTACACAATTAGAAAAATACCAATTTAGGTCAACCAATTACCAAGCAATGCTTAATTTAGTTCAGTCTCTGGTGTAAAAAGGTCGCATTAGCAATTAAAGAAAAAAAACACTTAAGCACCGCGTGGGGTCGTGAACACTACACACTCTACGGCATTCTGTTGTGCGTCTTTGCCATCCTGCTCTCGGTGGGCGCCTGCATCTCTGTGGCCCTCACCTACTTCCTGCTCTCAGGCGAGGACTACCGCTGGTGGTGGAGAAGTGTTCTGAGCACCGGCTCCACTGGCATCTTTATATTTGTTTACTCACTCTTCTACTACCACAATCGCTCCAACATGAGCGGCCTTGTACAGAGCATTGAATTCTTCGGATATTCCTTGCTCACTGCGTTTGTTTTCTCGCTCATGCTGGGAACGGTCTCCTTCTGGGCTTCTCTGGCTTTTATTCGTTACATCTACCGTAGCCTTAAGATGGACTGAGTTTGTTTCCTCTCAAGTTTCCTCACATGGGGAAGAGACTCGTGGACCAGGTCCTCATGGAGCCCTGCATGAGCAGGTTTTGTGTTGCTGAAGTATATTAAACTATCAAAACTGTTGATGCCAATCTTAAAAGGAATAGGGAACAGACAATGTGACTGACTAAAGACTAATTTAATATTTTATTTTGCTCACCAACACCGATACTTCATTCACATATATATATATATATATATATATATACAGTATATATATTTGCTAGATTATATGCACATCAAATACAGACGTATTTGAGAGTCATTTTGGATCATTTGTGCTGAATGGAACAGCTTTTCATACTTCAAATGTTGCTTACCAAGTATCCAAGACTTGAAAGCTTTGTTTTGGATTTTGTTTATGTAGTGAATATGACTAAAATGATTCAATGTCAGTTTCAAAACATAAGGGGAACGAATCAGAGGCCTTCATGCTTATCTATGTTTCATAAGACCATTGAGGAGAAGAAGCACTTATATGTACTGTAGGTGGGTTTACTTGATGATTAAAGGTGGATGTTGGTTATATGGAAGGATATTATCATCTTTGAAGTAAAGCGATGTGTCATATTGTTTTCAGAGGGTGCAGTATACACATTTTGACCAAAAGAGTCGTTTTGGAAGGAAGGTTTAACGCGAGCAAGCTGAAGAAATGAAGAATTGATTATGGAAGCAATACCATGCTCTAAAGTCGCCATCAACTGTGATCTGTTGCAATGTAAATATACTGTTTTCAATAAAGTCACTTTTATTACGGTAAGAGAAATAAATGTGGGTAAAATGCAACAATGGTGATGTCTATTGAAAATTATACATGTAAATTGATTTCAAGCTCACTCTCAGAAATGACTTGCCCTTTTGACGTAAGTTCTTACACACTTTTGTTAAAAAGTTTAATGTTTTTGAAAGAAGTCTCTTTAACCAAGGCTCTATTTATTTGATCAAAAATACAGTAGAAAGTAACAAGTAATCACCATGATGATGTCAATATAACATTGAGCAATATAACCGATCACAGACATATCTGTTTAATTTCTTGAACGCAATGGCCAGTCAGAGGCATTTAAGTTAGTATCCACTCAACAATCGAAACGCCAGAGAATCCTCTCATTAATTGTAACAGTGTAGTCACGATGTAAAGAAGAAATTCAACATGCAGTGTAGACAACTTCGTTGTCAGATTGCCATGAATTAAAGTGTGTCAGTCAGCTTTTTAGTCATTATGAAGGGAGCACTCTTTGCAAGCATTCTTGGCTATATATAATCAATAAAGAATTTCAATAAAAGTTTTGTTCTTCATGCTGCTAAGAGGGCCAATGGCCACATACACGTTGCAATGTTTTGAGAGTGACATCCGCATAATTGTGGGATTCACCCCCAAAATTGCAATCTACGGAACAAAAATATCCCTGCGTTCCATTCGGAAGGGCTCATCCCTATGCCTTAATCCATTCAAAGGGTTTACCCTCCGGAGTGAGAGCTTTGAAGGGTGTAAGGGACCAAACTGTTCCTTGAAGTGCCCTTCTGCATCATCATGGAGGCGCCATCATCCTGGAAAGAATCAGTGCAAAGAATCATGGGGGGCCGAAATGTCCAACAGTTGTACCCTTCGAAATCCTTCATTCAGCCCTTTGAAGTGGCCAGTTTTAAGCACTGGTTTGGAACGACCCTTCAATATGGAGGCCTTGTTTGCACTCCAAAGTGCCCTTCGGAGGGCGATATATGCCATTTGGAACGCACCGTCAATGTCAAACCAAAAGTGCACCACACATGTCCTGAAAGTGAAGCTAAAACATTTTGATCACCATCTGGTGGCTGGCTGCAGTATACAGGTGCATCTCAATAAATTAGAATGTCGTGGAAAAGTTCATTTATTTCAGTAATTCAACTCAAATTATTCTAATTTGTTGAGATAGTGAATTGGTGGGTTTTTGTTAAATGTGAGCCAAAATCATCACAATTAAAAGAACCAAAGACTTAAACTACTTCAGTCTGTGTGCATTGAATTTATTTAATACACGAGTTTCACAATTTGAGTTGAATTACTGAAATGAACTTTTCCATGACATTCTAATTTATTGAGATGCACCTGTAGGTCATGAACCTCACCGATGTAAACAAATTGGACATAATCCCAAAAAATAAAAATACACTGCAAATAATTTACTTCCCAAAAATATTTTCCCCTCATATGTAGTGCTTATCTCAGTGTTGCACGTTAAAGTGTTTGTTTTTCCTAATAAGTTGCTTTTAGTTAGTTATTTGATACTATAAAAACACGGTGTGGGTGCTTGTAATTGAGTCAGTGGGAGTTTGGGTGGGATTTTGATACTGCAGGTCCAGCTCGTGATCAGTACTGCACAGACTCTGACTCCAAATTACATCATCGGATTCGGCACAAGATGACCATATCTGGGATATTTTAGCTTCACTTTTCTATAATGAAATGAAGTGAAGACGTGTTGCCATCTTCAATCTGTGTGTCAAACTAGATTAAGGCATTAAGGCTAGCGCACCCTCACTAACGTCAAAAGCAACTTCTGTTTTGATTCTGGAGCCGGGCCTGCAAATGCCATAGAATTCACTATAGAACACAAATTGTTTAGTTTTAAATTTGTGGTAAACCTCAAATTATGAACACAAAGAAAAGAAAAAAACATTAGGAATCGCATACTATAAAATTAGCGGTTCATGTGACAACTGTTTGACAACATATTCACCTCAGGGAAGAGATTGTGGAAGTGGCAAACATTAAAAAGCATGGTTAGACAAGGGCAAAAAAAACGACAAAAAAAAAAAAAAACACCCACAGACAAAGACAAGTACATACTGGTTAAAAAAAAAAAAAAAAAAGTTAAAATAAAACTCAAGTTGAAGAACTTCAGATAAAATTTATTGCTCAACCAGGTCAAAATGAAATTTTTGGGTGGGCAGGTGTACTTTGTAAGCACAAGCATAATAAATGAGTGGCAATTACAATGCATTGTTCCATTAGTATAGACCAGGTACACAGCAAGAATTTTCTATAAGAAAACGCACACAAATGTAGCACAGATCACATACATAGCAGTAAAACGCAGGGAAAATTGATACACAGAACAAAACAGTGCAGTACAGACAACCTTCTCCCATACACATCAGATCTAGAGCAGTGCCTTGCATATATACAAATTCATGTAACTCGAAATCAAACTTGTCCTGACAATTAAAAAAAAAAAAAAAAAAAAAAAAAAAATTAATTATTACTTTTCTTACATAATTTTTAACAAAAACATTGGTAAAATATCAATTTAGGAGTCTTAGACCTTTCCAACGATATATAGTTTGTCATATTAGATTAGGATTTAATTGTAATATAGTGAAGTAAACTTGGGCATCCCACAGAGGTGACAGGTGAGAGTTAAAGGGTTAATCGCTACTTCTAACAATTACGGTTCATTAACCAGAATAGAAATATTCATGTTTTACCTATATATAAAAAAAAAAAAAAAAAAGTACAGCATGTTACACACGTATGCCAAGTTAAATGCATAAATAAAAATGGAAGCTTAGATGTCAAGCTTAAAATATATTTTTTTAAATTTTAAACCGTAGTATTAATATTCAGTCTAAATTGACAAATTTATCCCAGTGATGGCATAGCTGAATTTAGCAGTCTTCAGTGTCACATGATCCTTAATCATTTTAATATGCTGATTTGGTGTTCAAACATCTCAATGTTGAAAAAGCAATCTATATTAAATAAGCATAATTAATGCATTTATTTTTAATTCATTAACAATGAATAAACATAGAAGCTCAAATATGCAGCATTCCAGGTTTACCATATTTGATGCACTTTCATTGTAATCATGTCTTATATGAAAAGCCCAAATTAAGTAGATCAATTAAAATTTCACAAACTAGAGGTCTACACGGAGGACCCGAGACCCCCAATCTATTACTTCGGGTCCCGGGTCTGTTTAACATTGTGTGTAATACCAGAGTCGATCGGACTCGGAGAACACCCGGCCATTATCAGAGTCTGTTTTGTAACTTGTAAAATTAGGATGAGAAAAGTGAGTCGGTAATTTGAAATAAGGTGGGAAAAAAGAAAAAAAAAACAAAAAAAAAACACGAGCGACATCATCAGAAGCAGGGTGGGCGGAGTTAATGCACACGCATGTTGATAATGGATACCTTCATGAGTGATGTGAGAGCACAGAGATGATAGCAAGTAAGTAAAGCTAACGTCAGCAGCCATGGCACTGGACGAGCAATCGTTATTATAATCCAAATGGGCAAACAGTCTAAATTATTATGCAAGTTGACTCGAGATACAAAAAATGCAAAACTGCAAAGTCGCATTTGTCATCCATCACCGTGACAGCAAGTGGACTTTTGAAACTGGAATAATGAGTGGATTACGCATTTCAGTTGGCAAGAGAGGAATAACACGGATGGAACTTTCTTGGCAAGGAGGAATGTGTGCATCACAGTCAGGTACAAGGGAGAAGGCTTCTTACATTAGGTAAGACAAAAAGTTTAATTTTCGCAACTTGTTTATTGACTTGTTAATAGCGATTTGCTGTGGAATATGTGCCGATCGGGTCCAGTCGGGTCTGCGTCTTCCCGGCCGGGTTCGGGTTCATCTTTCAAATAATTGACGGTCCGCGTCGGTTCCAGGTAGTATATTTTTGACATTTCTCAGTTCTGCACGGGCCCGGTTCCAACTTTCAAAATAATAGACGGGTCCGGGTCGGTTCAGTGTAGCACATTTACGGGTCTCTTTGGGTTCGGGTAAGAATTTTTGGACCCGTGTAGACCTCTACTATGATGTAATGAATAAAACCATTTTTTTTTATTATCTTGAGTTTCATCCTACGGTTTTGAAACCACGTTTTCACCTTCAGAAAGAAATAAAGAGTTGATCATTATGATGACAATCTACTAAAACTTCAACCATTTCAACATTCTCTTTAGAATCACAAACCTGTTTGTACGTTAGACCCGTAGCTCCAGCAAGCGTCTTCATCTCTGCGGGCGTGAGGTATCTCTGGATATTGAACCGGTGGATCAGAGCACTCATCTGCTCCTCAGAAAAGGCAGCCCGGGTCTTGCGGGTCTGGGTTGGAGGTCGGGCTGGAGATGTGGTCAATGCAGGCAGTGGAGGCAAGGCTTCCACCCCCAGATTCAGGCTCACTGGCTCCTCTCTTGCTGCAGAGGT